GCGCGGAGGCGGCGGGAAATAGCAACAGCAGCAGGCGCGGCGGCGGCGGGAATTAGCAACGGAGTAGCAGCGGCAGCGACGAAGGTGGGGCTGGGAGATGCATTAGTCTGAACAACAGGCGCGGTGGCGGCGGGAAATAGTAACAGCAGCAGGCGCGGCGGCGGCGGGAATAAGCAACGGAGTAGCAGCGGCAGCGACGGCGGTGGGGCTGGGAGGTGCATTAGTCTGAACAACAGGCGCGGAGGCGGCGGGAAATAGCAACAGCAACAGGCGCGGAGGCGGCGGGAAATAGCAACGGAGTAGCAGCGGCAGCGACGGCGGTGGGGCTGGGGGGTGCATTAGTCTGGACAACAGGTGCGGCGGCGGCGGGAAATAGCAACGGAGTAGCAGCGGCAGCGACGGCGGTGGGGCTGGGAGATGCATTAGCCTGAACAACAGGCGCGGCGGCGGCGGGAAATAGCAACAGCAGCAGGCGCGGCGGCGGCGGGAATTAGCAACGGAGTAGCAGCGGCAGCGACGAAGGGGGGGCTGGGAGGTTCATTAGTCTGAACAACAGGCGCGGAGGCGGCGGGAAATAGCAACGGAGTAGCAGCGGCAGCGACGGCGATGGGGCTGGGAGATGCATTAGTCTGAACAACAGGCGCGGAGGCGGCGGGAAATAGCAACAGCAGCAGGCGCGGCGGCGGCGGGAATTAGCAACGGAGTAGCAGCGGCAGCGACGGCGGTGGGGCTGGGAGGTGCATTAGTCTGAACAACACGCGCGGAGGCGGCGGGAAATAGCAACAGCAGCAGGCGCGGCGGCGGCGGGAAATAGCAACGGAGTAGCTGCGGCAGCGACGGCGGTGGGGCTGGGAGGTGCATTAGTCTGGACAACAGGTGCGGCGGCGGCGGGAATGAGCAACGGAGTAGCAGCGGCAGCGATGGCGGTGGGGCTGGGAGATGCATTAGTCTGAACAACAGGCGCGGCGGCGGCGGGAATTAGCAACGGAGTAGCAGCGGCAGCGACGGCGGTGGGGCTGGGAGGTGCATTAGTCTGAACAACAGGCGCGGAGGCGGCGGGAAATAGCAACGGAGTAGCAGCGGCAGCGACGGCGGTGGGGCTGGGGGGTGCATTAGTCTGGACAACAGGTGCGGCGGCGGCGGGAAATAGCAACGGAGTAGCAGCGGCAGCGACGGCGGTGGGGCTGGGAGATGCATTAGCCTGAACAACAGGCGCGGCGGCGGCGGGAAATAGCAACAGCAGCAGGCGCGGCGGCGGCGGGAATTAGCAACGGAGTAGCAGCGGCAGCGACGAAGGGGGGGCTGGGAGGTGCATTAGTCTGAACAACAGGCGCGGAGGCGGCGGGAAATAGCAACGGAGTAGCAGCGGCAGCGACGGCGATGGGGCTGGGAGATGCATTAGTCTGAACAACAGGCGCGATGGCGGCGGGAAATAGTAACAGCAGCAGGCGCGGCGGCGGCGGGAATTAGCAACGGAGTAGCAGCGGCAGCGACGGCGGTGGGGCTGGGAGGTGCATTAGTCTGGACAACAGGTGCGGCGGCGGCGGGAATGAGCAACGGAGTAGCAGCGGCAGCGATGGCGGTGGGGCTGGGAAATGCATTACTCTCAACAGCAGGCGCGGCGGCGGGGGGAATCAGCAACGGAGTAGCAGCGGCAGCGACGGCGGTGGGGCTGGGAGATGCATTCTGAACAGCAGGCGCGGCGGCGGTGGGAAATAGCAACGCAGCAGCAGCGGCAGCGACGAAGGTGGGACTGGGAGGTGCATTAGTCTGAACAACAGGCGCGGTGGCGGCGGGAATTAGCAACGCAGCAGCAGCGGCAGCGATGGCGGTGGGGCTGGGAAATGCATTACTCTCAACAGCAGGCGCGGCGGCGGGGGGAATCAGCAACGGAGTAGCAGCGGCAGCGACGGCGGTGGGGCTGGGAGATGCATTTGTCTGAACAACAGGCGCGGAGGCGGCGGGAAATAGCAACACAGCAGCAGCGGCAGCAACGGCGGTGGGACTGGGAGATGCATTAGTCTGAACAACAGGCGCGGCGGCGGCGGGAATTAGCAACGGAGTAGCAGCGGCAGCGACGGTGAAGGGGCTGGGAGGTGCATTAGTCTTAACAACAGGCGCGGCGGCGGCGGGAAATAGCAACGGAGTAGCAGCGGCAGCGACGGCAGTGGGGCTGGGAGGTGCATTAGGGAGGGCATTTATTATACAAAAATGGGCCACATCCAATGGGCCATCCAATCTTTTCTCTCTTCACTCTCTTCCAAGTGGTGTAGCCACAGAGAAAATACAAACACTATTTTGGTATTGCTGTGGCGGCCAGTTCAACTCTGGCATGGAAGTCATTTTTATTACTCTGACTATATACCTACTACTATTATACTATAGGGTAGTACCACTACTACTATATACATACTACTAGTAGTAGTAGTAGCAGCACATACAATAAATCGCAAGTGTGATCCAGGGATGCCATTTCGTGAAACAAAATTTTCAAAATTCTCGCCAGTCCAGAAATGCAAGTCCAGCAGGCGCGGCGGCGTCGGAATTTAGCAACGGAGTAGCAGCGGCAGTGACGGCGGTGGGGCTGGGAGATGCATTAGTCTCAACAGCAGGCGCGGCGGCGGGGGGAATCAGTAACGGGGTAGCAGCGGCAGCAACGGCGGTGGGGCTGGGAGATGCATTAGTCTGAACAACAGGCGCGGCGGCGGCGGGAGTAGCAACAGCAGCAGGCGCGGTGGCGGCGGAAATTAGCAACGGAGTAGCAGCGGCAGCGACGGCGGTGGGGCTGGGAGGTGCATTAGTCTGAACAACTCGCGCGGTGGCGGCGGGAAATAGCAACACCGCAGCAGCGGCAGCGACGGCGGTGGGGCTGGGAGGTGCAGTAGCCTAAACGGCAGGCGCGGTGGCGGCGGGAAATAGCAACACAGCAGCAGCGGCAGCGACGGCGGTGGGGCTGGGAGGTGCAGTAGCCTAAACGGCAGGCGCGGCGGCGGCGGGAAATAGCAACGCAGCAGCAGCGGCAGCGACGGTGGTGGGGCTGGGAGGTGCAGTAGCCTCAACGCCAGGCGCGGCGGCGGTGGGAAATAGCAACACCGCAGCAGCGGCAGCGACGGCGGTGGGGTTTGGAGATGCATTAGTCTCAACAGCAGGGTTGGCGGCGGTGGGAAATAGCAACACCGCAGCAGCGGCAGCGACGGCGGTGGGGTTTGGAGATGCATTAGTCTCAACAGCAGGGTTGGCGGCGGTGGGAAATAGCAACACCGCAGCAGCGGCAGCGACGGCGGTGGGGTTTGGAGATGCATTAGTCTCAACAGCAGGGGTGGTGGCGATGGTGGTGGGGCTAAGAGGTGCAGTAGCCTAAACGGCAAGTTCGGCAGCAGTGGGGCCTAGCAACATAGTAACAGCGGCAGCGACGACTTTGGGGCTGGGAGGTGCAGTAACCTCACACAGCAGGCGCGGTGGCGGCAGGGCCTAGCAACGCAGCAGCAGCGGCATCAATGGCAGTGGAACTGGGAGGTGCTGCTGCGTTGCTATTTCCCGCCGCCGCCGCGCCTGCGGTTGAGACTAACGCACCTCCCACATGTTTTAGCTAGTTACATCAACAATGCTGTGCCTGTGGGACAGTGCGAGCTGGTGATTTAACTTGTCATGCTTGAACACAGCAGGAGAGATTCTTTGTTAATTAAACATTAAATACATGCCTGAAGTATGTAACATATGACTTTCAAATTAACAACAGGGTGTAAGGGAGCTGACTGAGTAAGGATTGGCAACAGGCCAAAAGGAAGTTGGCTGCCTTGCCCTGCTAGCTGGCATATACTGATCTTTTCCGTTGGATAAATGCAGCTAAGCCTAAGGGCTTTGTTTACTGCCGCGCCTGAATGCATATCAAGTCACTGCAAGTGGCTGAAACGAAGGCAATTCAAGTGCACTCCAGAATCCCGGCAGGGATGCTGTATAATACATTGTGCACATTGTTATAGAGGTAATATACTATGCAGCATTTCAGAAGGGATTCTGGAGTCCATATGGCATATAATTGTCACTTTTTAGAAAGGAACAAAACATGAACACAGAGCCAGCATATGACCATTGGGAACATGACTGAATTTACACATATGAGTGGCAATTCATGAGCAGTCATGCTGCACAAGGAGCATGACAACTGTCATGACCATGACTCTGCCTCATGACCGGTAACATGACCGGTCATGAGGCCTCATGAGTGGTCATGAGGCAACATGACCAAATCTATGACAGGAAACCTCCCGCATGACCACATCCATGACCAAGTCGTTCCCCGAGTGGTTGTTATGGTTGTGATCGGGGGTTAAGACGAACCACTGACGTTTGAAGCAGATACCAGAACAGACGGATAGTGGAGGGTAGATGGGGGGAAAAAGCACACACACACACACACACACCGTCACGTTCTCACAGACACCCTTTGGGTTTTAGTCCTTCCCCAGCGCCTCACACCTGTATCGCCTCCTGCGCCCCAGCCACACACCCCACCCCCCTCGTCTCCTCACGCCCTCCCTCTCTCTCTCTCTCTCTCTCTCTCTCTCTCTCTCTCTTACACACACACACACAAACACAAACACGGGAGGGACCTCTCATCGGACTACCCCCTCCCCCGGGGAGACCTTCAACCCCGCGAGGAAGAGAAGGTTAACCGAACCCTCTATCTCGCATTACTGCTCTCCTTTCCTCACAACCACCTTAACCACCACAACCACCTTAACGGAAACCGCAGGGCGGCCTAGGTGGCTTACTGCTCAGGTTGCGCCAGGACGGTCATGCGGCGCTTCGGCTTGTGGGACCGGCTGGTATGTACGGAAACTGGTACAGTACGGCAGCTTGCTGTACGGGATAAAACCTGTAACTCGGGGCGTTTCAGGTCGCGAGGGCCCCCCTCGAGGGAGAAGACGGAGAAGATGGGCTCTCTGGCATCTGAAACCCAGAATGTGTCACACGCGACACGACGCGTCGCTAAACACATGGCACGTGTCCGTGCCTACCCGCCCCACCTCATACGGCCAACATTGGTTGCCCCCACGACAGGCCTGTACGACACCGTGGAGGGCCTGTCGTACTTTGTACGGTGCACGCACCCTGCGCTGGAGCTTACGACGCTGACGACCGCACAGCAGGGTTGCGTGTACGACGACGAGTGCCTGGAAGTACGGCCGGTCTGGAGGAACTCGCTGCTGTGGCAGGTACCCCCCTGGCTCAGTACGGCAGATCTGGCCCCGGGATCAGCAAGCGGTGGCCCCGCAGAGGCCCAACAGCGGTTTCGGGGCTCTGCATGTAATCCTGGGAACGTAACCGCAGCTCCGAAACCATTTGGCGACGGTGGCGGCGACGGCGTGATCAGGCCGGAGGAGGGGGGAAAGACGAACCACACACGATTGAAGCTGCTGCCAGGGCTGCCGGAGGAGGGGGGCGATGGAGATTCGGATTGGATGCTCAACGCGCGGCCACGAAAGCGGAAGAGGCAGCGGCGACGTCAGGGGGGAGGAGCTCGCTTAGGCGAGGCACTAGGCGTGGCTGGGGCTGAGGCCCCGCAACAAAGAACCGCAGCCGAGGACGGGGCTGAGGAGAGGCCGCTGCCGCCGCGGCGGCGGCGGCGGCTGTACGACAGCACCGGCGGAGGCGCCGACGTCGCTGTCACTAAGAATCTCAATAGCAGCAGTGGCAGTGGCAGTAGCAGCAGCAGTAGTGAGGATGAGGGAGAGGGCGGGGGGAAGGTGGGGGCAATGTCGTGCCTAGGCACACTGCCATCTTTGCATGCGCTCCGTGCCTCAATCCAGAGGGCTTCGGCGGCGGCGGCGGCCCTTCGTGCGGCGTACGACACTGTATCCCGAGGGAAAGAAGAAGCGCCGCCATCGGTGTCGGAGGCGTCGTGGGATTTAGGATCCTGCAGTACGGCAAGTACTACCGCCTGCGACGACGGGGAGGAGGCGGAAGAGAGCCCGAAAAGAACAAGCGGCAGTAGCGGTGGCGGCACCGGCAGCAGCAGTAGCAGCAAGGGTGGGGTCCCTGAGAGTGGTGGAGATAGCAGCAGCGATGTGAGAGACGGCGGAGGTACGCGGAGGGACACGGAGGGCGATGGTGATAGCGATGAGGTTGCGGCGGCGGCGGCGGCTGCGGCGGGGGCGCTGGATCGCCGCCGCGGCCGCGGCCGTCCTGGGAGAAACGGCACAGCCGCCGCTGCTACTGCTACTGCAGCTGTTGCCGCAGCGGCGGCGGGAGCTGGCGGCGGGAGGCCGCACGGCAGTAGCAAGATACGGGGTGACCACCTGGATCTGTTTTCTGAATTGGATCGTTTGTTCATGGCCAGCGGCCCAGCGGAGCGTCGTCCAGCGGGTGTACGGAGTCGTACGACATGGTCGCGCGGCATCAGGCGGAGGCGCTGCCGCCGCCGCAGCGGTCGTGTGCTGGCTGCAGCTGTCGGCGGCGGCGGTGGCGGTGGCGTGGACCTGCGGCAACTTTGACCTCGAAGGTGGCGCTGAGGTCTCAGGTTCTTGAGCGCCTTAGATCCGCGGTCACCGGTCATCACCTGAAAACCAGACCTACGCTGCCGCCGCAAGGTGTACGGCGCACGGCGGCAGCAGCGGCGGCGGCGGCGGCAACCCCTAGCAGCACCGTCGCCGCCAGGCGGGTTACGCTGCCAGGGCTGCAGCCGCCGCCGCCGTCGTCAACGCGACAACCGCCGCCGCCGCTGCCACAACCGTCACCACAGCGAACTAAGGCGACCCGGCCGCCAGACGACAACCCGCTTGCCTACCTCCTCTACCTGAAACACACCCGTCAGGCGGTGTTGGTAGTTGCCGCCGGCGACTTGGCTGCCGTACGGTCGCTGGCGGCTCACCCCGTGTCGAAGCTGCTGCGCCGAGCGCCGTCGGGGTTACTGCTTGCGGTAACGCACGTGGCGGCGGCGGAGGTGACGTGGCAGCGGCGGTACCGCCAGCTGGCGGAGCGGCAGCTGCCCGGGCCGCACGTGTGGCCCAAGCCTGCCGCCACCGCGGCGGCGACGGCGGCGGCGGAGGCAGTGCCGCCGCCGCCGCTGGCAGGACTTGGCCATTTGGGTTCCGCTAGGGTGACGATGCGGCTCAACGCGGTGGCACCGGCCACCTTTCCGTTGCCGTTCGAGCTGCGTGTACGGCAATGTGCGGCGGCGGGGCGACGTGGCGTGGCGAATGAGGACGTTAGGGAACGTGGTGTGGACGCTGTGGACCGGCAGCTGGAGGACAACATTGCTGCCGCCACCGCCGCCACCGCCACGGCAATGGAACCGGCGGCGAAGCCGGCGGCGTTGCGCGAGGTGGTGTCCAATGCCGGCGACAAGCGTACAGGACCCAGCTCCCAGCCGTTACACGGTCAGCGGCAACAGCTACAGCCGCCGCCACGAGCACTGGCGGAGCCGGAAGATCGGCCTCAGCTGCAGCTCGTTGCGGAGCGCGATGAGCCGCGGGAGGGCACTGAACCAGCAGCTACAGCCACAACGGTGGTTGGTAATGGGCACGTGGCGGCGGCGGCGGCGGCGGCCGCACATCGACCGATGGGTCGCAAGGCCAATGGCGACCGCCGGGGGGCTGCCGGGATCATCACGCAACGCCGCAACGCGGTAAAAAGCCGTGTCGCGTCGCTGCTAGATACGCTGACGGCGACGTGCGTTGTCGTACAACATGGCGGCGGCGGTAGCGGCGGCGGCGGTGGCGGCACCGGAGGAAAATCCCGGGGCTTCTTAACTTCCGACACGGACGATGACAGCAGTAGCAGTAGCAGTAGCGGTAGCGGTAGCGGCGGAGAGCAACAGAAGCAGACGCAGATCCAGAAGGCGGAAAAGAAGCACGAGTGTCAGCGGCTGGTAGCGGCGGCGGTCCTGGTACATTGGTGGGATGACGGCCCGGGCGATGGCGGCGGCGGCGGCGGCAGGATGGGAAACGAGGCGGCGGCGGCGGCGGACTTGGTTCCGGAGCAGATGCTTCCACCGGTGGCGGAGGTGCAGCGGAGGCTGTTCTTGGAGAGAAGAGATACCGGGTTGTTGCAGATGTTGCAGGTGGGCGCGTGTGTGTGGGTATGCATGTGTATGTGAAATCGTTGGATGCGGGGATTGTATGTGAGGAGCAGCAGCAGCGGGATGAGGGGGAGGGTGAGGAGGAGGGGGAGGAAGTGCCCATGCTGTGTTCGCGTTGGTGTTGGCTGTAGCGAGGTCGCTAAGGGGGCCGCAGGGTTTTCCGTTGGGTTGGTTGGTTTGTTGGTTAGGCGGGTTTTCGCTTTCTTCTCCTTAGACTTAGGGTCTTAGGGTCTCCTTAGACTTAGACACCATCCTAATGCCCACTTACCTTCCCCTCCCTTCCGCTCCCGCTCCGAAACCAACGAACGTCCCGGGCGGACCAACCGCTTCGCCATGGGAGCGTGGCTCAACATGCCGCACGTACACTTGCGTTTTTGTGTGCTCCATTCGCCGTACAAGGCCCTCCGTCGTACATTCCCGCACCTGACACGGACGGCAATGGCTCAGCGATTCCTCCTCAACCAGCAGCCGCCCCATCCGCCCCGGCAGCACGGGTCAGCAGGTCTCGCAACATCATCAGCCGCAACACCAGCTGCAGCAGCAGCATCAGCAAACACATTTGCAGATGGAGCGGCACCAACAACATCATAATTACCAACAACAACATAATTACCAACCCGCCGGCCCCTGGGCGAACGGCGGCGGAGGAGGACGTACGGCGGGTGGCAGCAGCAGCGGCGGCGGCGGCTTGACGGCAGATGAGGAGCTAGCGGCAGCCGTGGCGGCATACGGCACGCCGGAGCATACCGGCGGCGTCATGCGGCCGTCGTACTCTTACGCATCGTACCCGGAGAATGAGCCCCGTGCTCTCCCGCCGGCCGCACCCCCTGTCTTTGGCTGGCAGTGCGGCAGCAACGTCGGCGGCAGCAACATCGGCGGCGGCGACGCTGTACTGCATTCCCTGCGTGGAAATAGCGACGTGTACGGCAATCAACTGCACTCGCCGTGGCCAGCAGCTTCGCATGGCCCTCATGGCGCGTGGACCGGCCAACCATTACTGTTGCCGTGCTTAAAATCGCGTCATATCGCGTTAGCGTCGCGTTAAACTCGCGTTAAAGCCTCGTAACACGAATTTAACGCGACGTAACGCGATCACCCGTTGTCATAGTGGTAGTACGGCACGCACTAATAATACATATACGCGCTAAAGCGCAATTCCAGCATCTATAGAGGCCTTTCCAGCGGCCAGCTACTACAACATGCCACGTGGCATGCGTGAAGCTGACAGACGTTTGTAGCGGACCTAACAGGCTGGGGGCCTTGGGCCCCACCGACAGTATCCTACTACGGCAGGAGTGGTCGTGGGGATTCGTCCGGCAGGTAGGCCGAGATATGAGCTTCTTCACCCAGGCGGGATGCTCTGGCCAGACACTTAAATATCACGATTACTTGGTGTATCACTCTGCTGCCGTCGGTCTAGTTATACCGTACCTGTCTATGTATTCTAGTGTCTGCCGCTGGGCTGGACTTCTTCCCGTCTCTTCGAAGGCGATCTGCTCTACACTTCCGCAAGGTCAGTCGTCTGTTAAGGTGAGTGACTGCTACACCTTGCCTTCCACTGCCGTGCCTCCCGGTGCACATGCTGCCACTGCTGCCAGCTGGGTAACGCATTGTTCTTTTCCTATCACTACACTTGCCCTTGGGATGTCCTGGTTGGATGTCTGCATTGGCTTTCTGCCTTTGGGCCCTGTCGACCGTGGCCGTGTGTGAACTGCGTGGGAGACTCTCCCAGTTCCATCCGTCACCAGCCGGAATGCTGTACCCCGCGAGTTGCGGTCAAAGCTGACCCTAAGTGTGCCGCCCCGCAGCCACCGCCTCCATTCGAGTGCACCTTTATCGGTTCGGTGAGCTGTCTCGGCGGGCTCTCTCCTGGATTCTGCCGCCACTCAATTGTGGACTTGCTGGGCTATCGTGCAGCTGTAATGGTGCTCAACTTGCACCCTCGCTGCCTGGACCTCCACCATGCTGCCTCCGGCCCCCACTGCCTTCACATGCCTGAGCCTTCTTCAATTTGACGGGCCTCCTCTGCGAGTCTCTGAAGCTGCCTTCATCCACCGTCACTGCTGCTCCAGTGCTGTCTTTCACAGGTGGAAGTTGCGACTTCAAGATCGTGGCCTTTACACTGCTAATCACATACTTGTGAGCCGCCTTCAGTTCGGTGGGCTGCTTCCGTGCAGGCTTCTGCGGCCTGGATGGAACCACCCCAGGCGGGTTACCTCCACGGTTTGCCCTAACACACCGGCTCCAGGTGCCACTACTTACATGCAGCTGAACCGCCGCCAGTTAGGCGGACCTCCTAAGCTAGCTGCCTCTTGCAGTTGCTAAACCTGCCGTTGGTGCCGTCCTGAATGACCGGCCACAGCAGTTTTTAACCTTCACATCCCCCACCGGCGGCTGCTGCCTACATGTGCCCTTCACTGGCATCGTTTTGATGTTATGCCTTCCTTGCTGTACTTCACTGGTCGCCACTATGGCACTTGTCTAGAGCATGGACCCTTACACGGCCGGTATCAACCGCACCATTGCCGCCGTCATCCAGATGCAGCGGTCTTAAGGTGCGAGCTGCCTGCTGCAGCTGCCAGAACAGCCTCCGAGCCGCATGTAGCGGACTGCTGCAGCGGCTTTCTCCTCAATGTGCAGCCACTGGCGGCCGTTCCATACATGCAGCTGAGCCGCCTTCAGTTCAGTGGCTTCATAAACAAGCAGCCTCCTGCAGTCGCTAAACATGCATTTGTGCCGTGCTTAGCGGACCGCCGTGGTGGCTGTTTGGTCTTGGACTGTAGCTGGACGGCGAGACAACAGACGTATGTGTTGCCCAATCGTTCGGGGCTTTTAACGTGGTACCGATAGGTAATACAGTTTCACAGAAAGGCATGTAGTCACATGCAATTTGGATTGCGTATTGTATGATAAACAAGTGCTTCTTTGCTACATTCTGTACCTACGTGAGGCTGTGTTAAGATATATGCATTGAGCTTTTGTATGTACCAAGGATTCCCTTTTCATCACCTTGTGTGCGGTTCGTGTGTGTTCTGCCCGCATTCGGGTGCACACTGAAAGTACATGCATGCGCATGTGGATTAACTTGCGAATTGCGTGTGCTTGTTGTGGTACAGTTGCAATCAGATTTACGCACTGAGTGTGTGTTTGCTGTGGGACGGGCTGCGCCAAGTCTAAGCCTTTCCTACCAAGGGTACATACAATATGCAGGCAGGCGGCTGGCAGAGGTAAAGGCCTGACTTCTGCTCCCAGTGCGTCCGGGTTCAAATCCGCCTGCCGACCTCTCGAGGTGTTTGAGAGGTGATGAAATGGGAGGTGGCCCCCCATCTTATCGACGGTATAGGACGTGATAAAATCAACTTGCGAGCTAACCAGGAACTATGTTGAGGCGCCGTTGATCCGGTAGATTTGGTTGGATGCTGGCGGTCAGTTGCCAAACTCAAAGAGTACTATCTGAAGTCGGATGGGGTGAATGGATTAGAGTGCCCCTCTAGCAGGGGAGAGCAGGGAACTGCCTCGGGAAGGAGGCCGCTGGTGAAGCTTATCCACCCTGTAACAACATCAACAACATCAACATGCATTCGCTCGTGAACCGCCAAGCGAATCGCGTTTGGCGTGCATCAAGCTGCGCAGCTGCGTTAAGCCTTACGCACTGATTAATTGTTAAATTCAAACAAATAAGCACAAATTTAGTCTCAAATAAACCCTCTTAAGTATAAATACTCATTCCGTAATTAATGTTCCGTCAAAAGGGCGCATTTTCAGCTTTGCCACAGCCGTCGTGCGTTAGCTCTGCGTTACGAAACGCAAGCTTATACGCATCTAACGTTGTGAAACGCGACGCAGCACAAGATAACGCGACCTAACGCTAGTCACCCCTTGCCCTAGTGACCGAGATGCATTCGGGTAGGGAGGCAGCGGACGGCGTCCAGAGGCGTGTGCTGCTGCTCCTGACGCGTGTTGCCGTCCTTTTTCTTGAACACGTACAACCATTTGGGCGCGGACCTGTTGAAAGCGTGCAGCAGGCAGCAGCTGTGCTGTAGTCTACAGTCGATTGATTGCTTTAGGGTGTGTCAGCAGCAGGAGGACCGCAAGCAAAAGGCACGTGTGCATGTCTTGGCATGCTTTAGCAAAAGCGGATTTCGTGAACATCCTGTCATGATGACCGTCATGAAATTGCAATCGTGGATGGCTAAGGGACTATTCGCCATGTTGCCATACAAGATTTTTGCCACAAGCGGCTGTAGTTGCTGTCGTACAATACGGCACGCATGGTGCTGAAGCGTTTTGCCAGCACCTCGAGCTTAAACGAGAGCCGCCTTTCCGGCGGCCAGCTAATATATGCACGTGAGGCCCTGCCTGGCACTCGCAAGCTGTACTCAACTATGACACTCTCCTCTTCTCTCCGTCCCCTTTCTTCAGCTGCTCCACGCGGCAGCCCTAGCCTGAGGTCCGATCATGTACGTCCAACCTGTGTCTTCCAACTTACAAGTTGCGGTTCTTGAAGAAAGATTCGGGCACGACATATTCGATATCCAGTATCAGCTTTGCCTTGAGCTGCATCCACTCCTGCTTGGCATGTGTCTGCACTTCCTGATATGAAGTGGACATGGTCGCAATGAGCAGGTTCAGCAGGATGATGGATACGAAGAACGAGAAGCTGATGATCATTGCCTGTGGGTAACAGATGGAGCAGCAGCGGTAGGCAGGTAGGTGCAGGGAGCAAGAGGGTGCATCTTAGCGGATGGAGTGGGCAGCAGATGGAGCAGGTAGCCAATAATAGGCACCGCCATACACCGCCATAAGACATCATCCACATCCGTATCATCCCAGCAGCCAGCAGTGCGGATGCTTTTAATGCGGAAGTTAGCAATCTGTCGTGTGGCAACGTACATCGGGGCCAATCTACCTATGATACGCATGGTTCGTATGGGGTGTGCAGCAGCACACCGTGCAACCACTGCCAAACGAAACAGCCCCGAACCTCCTTAAAACCATCCTACGTTCATACCATTGCAAGGTTAATAAGTGTTCAATGTTCACAAGGCAATCAACGGCACTCATATAGACTTCATAGATGGACGACCCACGTCAGTAAAATTCCTCTCGCCTGTAGACGATGCCTCCTATAATAGATAGGGACCGGCCCTATCTATTATACGAGGCCTTGGTCTATAGACGAGAGGAAATTTTACTTACGCAGCAGGAAGTAAAAACCATAAAAATAATAATACACTATTCCAATTGGCAATCATGTACAGCGCCAACTGCTCCTAGCTATGTATGCACCAGCCATGCATCATGCCAATAACGCCACAACGAACTTACGTGGAGGTACCATACATACTTCGCCTTGCCACCCACGTCCCTTTCGATGCCGCCGGCCGCCTACATTGCAAACATACCCAGGAACAGGTAGGTATATATCACCGGCAACTTACATCATCTGCAATGCGGGGCGGGGCGGAGAAGAATTCATCAGGGGACAATAATAATAAGAGCTAGGGTAATATTAGGAATTAAAAAATGCCCACGCAGTTCCACAGACTTAAGTTTCCCCTGCACCCTGACTTTAATTTCGGCGGCAGCTCGTTAGGGAGTGGCTGGTGCATACATAACGATAGGTAGCTCATTTACATTTACCTTGGAAAGTATTAAGCGAATCAAGTTGAATTTAGATAGCGGCGCGATGTAAGAATTACGAACTGCACTAGTACTCGCTACTTGTAGGAATCGTCTGCCATGATATTGTATCGTGACGGGAGAATCATCATATCAGATCATGACTCTAGGAATGGAAGGTAGCGGTAGGTGGGCCGCATATAATCCATCCGGGTGAGCGAGGTGCTCTGGCCTCCGAGGACACTTAGGATAATTACACTGGTGTTCGGGGTTGTCAACCCTGTCGACGCCGTTCCTTTGTTAGGGCAAGCAAGTCGTAGACCCAAGCAAAGCAAATCTGAGGCTGCGTGGTGTGTGTCGCTGTCTATGTGTAACGGTATTACACATTATTATTACAGCAGGTATCACAGCCTCTATCCTATCTGCAGATAGTTAGAGGAACCGGCAGCAGAGCAAGCAACCTGAGATCCCAGGTAATTTAGTTTGTGTGTCTGCCTGTGTGTCTGTCTGTATGTGCGTCTGTTTACCCAGGTACTACTCCGCCCCATCCCGTCCCAGCCCTGCACTTCTCTTCGGCGGGTAAAGTGCTGCGGCGGGTACACAGCTGTGTACTCTGCAGAGAATGCTGTACATGTACGTTGCTTTGTCGCATTTCCCACTTTCGCCATACATACCAGCCAGCGGCACTGCACAGCTCGATCAGTGCCTACACAAGCAGAATATTTGCACCGCCAGCATCTTGAAGTAAAGTGTTTTTGTTGGGTAAGTAGTTACCGCACAGTGCCGCGCACCTGTTCTTTGCTCCCTCGCTTCTGATGTATTGGCTATTGAAAACGACTTAACCTGCCTTTTCTATCTTTGTCCTGTTCATCACCCGCTACCAACTCCCTGTGTATCCCTTTCTCCCGTGCCTCCGTGTGCCTCTGTGTGCATTTTATCCCAGGCTTGTTTCCCGCACCCTCTCCCTTACATACTTCACGTACATACATTCCTACATGTATCCTCTTTCATACCATGAAGTAGTAGACCGATAGGAAGCTGTTGGGGAAGCCATTAAATAACTCGGTGAACTTGTCGGAAATGCTGCCGCCACCATCGTTGACCGCCTGACCACAAACGGGGCAGATGGACTATAAGATCAGACAAAGAGTGCTCGCGGGAGATGCCAACAGGAGCTGATCCCTTCTTACATGGGCGGTGCGATGAATCTGTGTGTGGTGTGTGTGTGTGGGTGTGTGTAGGTGGGTGGGTGGGTGGGTGTGAGTGTGTGTGGGGGTGTGTGTGGGTGGGGGTGTGTGGAGGTGTGGGGGTGTGGGGTGTGTGTGTGGGGGGATGTGTGTGGGGGGTGGAGTTGAGTTGGCCGACCTGGAGTTGAGTTGGCACCGCTGTTGAATTGGCAAATTCCATGTTAGTGCACTATGTTGTATCCTGTAAGCTTCTTGTACAGCCTGTGGCTCCATTGCCCAACTGTCGGTGGTTAGCGCGTCCGGTCCGATTTGCTAACACCTGTATATTTCCGCTGTCAGTGATTTAACTAATACTGAGGTCAGTTTACTGGCGGCTACTGTTAGTCGCGGCGGCTAAAGCGACTACTGATAGTCGTCCGCCATCCGAATGCCACACCGCTGGGGAAGTCCGTACCTGCGTATGGGCGGGGGCTTTACCTGAGTAAAGCTGGGATCTGCGTCCCTGGTACTATCTGATTATCGGTTGGGTGAATATCTGTCTGCGGATTTCGGTTCTATCTACGCCGCCCAGTCAGACTGGGAACATTCGCGAACATGCCGGCATTGGGCCCAGGTGGACTCTGCCTCAATCGGTATCTTTCGATACCACCATTTCATGGCTGTGTTGTCTGAAGCATACTACACACTAGTGCACCACGTGGTGAGAGCTAAACCCCCAATAGCCACTGACTCCTCAGAAGTCGGCATGAATGGGTGAGAATGATGAGGGTGCCCTGAAACATCGGGTTAGGGAGGGACTGCCAGGCTAGTGGCCCCGGGTGAAGCTATACCCCCTGTTTCACAAAATCATATATACATATAGGCAGGCGGCTGGCAGAGGTTAACCTGACTTCTGTTCCCGGAGTGTTCAGATTTAAATCCACCTGCCGACCTCTCGTGTGTGGGAGAGGGTTGGAATGGGAGGTGGCCTCCCATCTTATGGGTGGTATAGGACGTGATAATATCAACTTGCGAGCTGATCAGGAACTATGTTGAGGCGCCGTTGATCCGGTAGATTTGGTTGGATGCTGGTGGTGAGTTGCTGAACCCAACGAATACATTTTGAAGTCGGATGGGGTGAACGGATTGGGGTGCCCCTCTAGCAGGGGAGAGCAGGGATTAGCTTCGGGAAAGGGGGCCGCTGGCGAAGCTATACCACCTCTAACAGCATACATATAGCAGCCACGCACCTGCGTAACCCTGGATAGCTAACCAACGTGGTGTGATGCATCACAGTAGGGCACCGTAGCTTTCCCCTACCCTTCAAGGGTGCCACGTTTCTAGGCAGCAGGTATTATTTCCATGCTATGCATGTGACTGCTTTCCTAGCTACGTCAGTAACCAGGCGGGGTATGGGCTAGCGTTTGAATTAAAGGAAGGTGATGCTGCAAATACACTCACTCTCAGTTAGTTTTATGTGTCAGATACGACGGCAGGTATGTACAGCAGGTGAATACAGATGCGACACCCACCTGAGGAGTTACCTGCTGCTCGTAGTATACGATGAACTGCCGGAATGCGAAGGAGTACGTGGCCAGCGTAATCGCCACAATGAGCAGGAAGGGGCCCAGGTCTTTGATGATGCGGATAATGATCTGCACATAGATGCCCGGTCCCTCCAGACCTATGAGCGGCAAAGGGGAGTTACTTAGGCAATTAGAGCTTAATGAAGGGAGCGATAAGCAAGATAGGTTGGATATGCAAAGCGGCGGGCAGGGTCCACACTAGAACATCTACATGTAACTATGAGCCAAGCAGCCAACCAACCCACTAAACGTCGATGCCACCTGGCTAAAGATATCCAAGAGCACGCCGACTGGATGAATCTATCAGCTCCGTCAAGTTCTAACACACAGCAGCTATGTAGTCCGTACTTCGCACATACATACATAGGTGGCAGGTGGCTGGCAGAAGTTAAGGCCTGGCTTCTGTTCCCGGACGAACCGGGTTCAAACCCGCCTGCCGATCTCTCGGGTGTATGAGAGGTGTTCAAATGGGAGATGGCCCGCCATCTTGTGGACGGTGTAGGACGTAATAAAATCTACTTGCGAGCTGACCAGGAAATGAGTTAAGGCGCCGTTGATCCGCTAGATTTGGTTGGATGCTGGCGGTGAGTTGCTGAACCCAACGAATACATTCTGAAGTCGGATGGGGTGAATGGATTAGGGTGCCCCTCTCGCAGGGGAGAGCAGGGACTGCCTCGGGAAAGGGGGCCGCTGGTGAAGCTATACCACCCTGTAACAACATCATACATAGGTGTCACCCGGAAGGAGGTCTGGCTAGTAGAGCCCCCGACCGGCTGCAAGCAGGCCCCCTGCGACGTGATTGCTCTAGCGGCCCTGCCTGCCATGGAGGTCGGCAGATGCTGCCTGACGGCGGCCAGCAGGAGACAGGAAAGGGCGGCAAACCAGGAGCCGCCGCCGCAACAGCTAGCTCAGCAGGTACAGGCGCAGGGCCCCAGGCAGCAGCAGATAACGGACTTCTTTCCCCCGGCCGACGGGGTGGGACCAAAGGTGGGCCCGCACTGAACGCGCCGGGGGACGAGGACCACATACCGGGGCGAAATACAGAGACAGGGGCAGTAGAAACAGCGGCAACCATGGTGGCCGCAACCCCCTTGGAGCGAGCCCGCGCCCATGCAGTGGTGGACTTCTGGACGCGTTTACCCTCTTTCGCAGTGCTGGGCATCCCGCGAAGGGGCTGGGACGGAGTGGGACCTGACCTCCCGATCTTATCGGTTGCAGAAGCAGCGATGTGATGCGCGGAGGCGGTCGAAATCGCAGCTTAAGAGCGCTTGTGGGCGGGTTAGGCAAGGCAGGGCTCCGGTGTTGTATGGTAGATTGAGGATGATTGGGACTGGGAAGGCGGGTGGGGGGCGCAGAGCTCTTAAGGGTTGGAGGGTGGTGTGGGGACAGAGGGCAATAGGATGGGTGGGAAGGAAGGGGTGGAGTTGAAAGTAGCCGGTGGGGAGCCAAGTGGGAAGTGTTTCGTTGTTTGGAGGAGGGGAGGGGAAAGGGGGGAAATGGTACTGAGGGGCAGGGAGGGGGGGCCAGGGAGGGAGGGGGTCGGTTTTCCCCTAACGCCACGCTGAGGGGTTTGGAGAGACTGGGATAGCTGGGGGCGATCGGGGAGGGGATGGGGTAAGGCAGAGAGAGCGCCAAGAGGACGTAGGTCTTGGGGAATCAGGAGATAGAACACCGGTGGTTGCAGCGGGGCTCGGATGAGGGGGAGGTGTGACCCGAGAGGGGCCGTACTACTTAGGCACGTCTGTACTGCAGGGTTGGGTGGTTTGGCAGGGATCGAGGGCGGGAACTTTGCCTTCTTGGGGTTCTCTTGAGATCTAGAAGACCAGCCGTTCCGGTCTAGTAACGGTAAGGGGGAGGCGCCACACGGGCTACTTTCCTTCCCCTGTGGACTTCTGGTGGACCAAGGAGACGTGTCCCGTGACAGAGTCCTCCCGTTCATGTATGTGCCTGTATGACCCTGGCTTTCGCGGTATATTTAGGGCTGGTGTGTCCTCCCCTTTCTTTGGTTGGTCGTCTCCCCTGGAACAGCCCAGGGAGGGAGAGGTGGAGGAGGTCAGGAGTCTTGAGGTGGATGCGAGGCGTCTTGTGGTTTTTAGCTCTCTTGCCTGTCCTTTTTGGAGGCCAATGATGGCTTTGTGTGCCGTTTCAGGAGACATCCCCTGTCCGAGACACCCCGGCCGTTCTCCTTGTCTCTTCGTTTTGGGGGTGAACTGGAGACTTCGGTGAGCCCTTGCCTCAGCTCGGGTTATGAAGGAGTTCAGGCGGGACTTGAGAGCCAGCCTGTTTGTACTGCCGCGCCATCCCAGGACGGAGGCGCGGCTGAGCGGCTGTGATGCGTACTTTTTGACGGCCTGAATCGGGTCGGGAGTACACATGACTAGCCGAATTTTTCTGTGTGCTCCCGACCCCTGCGCTGTGTTTCGGCTCTGCCCCCGGATCTAGCGGTCCACAGTGTAGTATAAGACATACATACATACATGCATTGTACATACGTATGTACATACGCGTCCTTACGTACACACAGATTACTATGTAGATACGTAGTATACATACGCATTGGAATGCACCCAGCGACAAACCCTAGTGCCAGCCACCTGATGCCACCTGGAGCATGCGGATCCCCAGGAGCATGGTGCATGCGGACATCACCCAGCGGGCTTCCTCGACACCCAGGAGCTTGCATGCATCGCAGCAGGCGGGAGGGGAAGGCAAGGGGCATACCGCATTAATGGTGATGGCGGTGATGGCAGCAAAACTAGCGTGCCTTGTCATAGCAAGCTACTCATACCTCTAATCAGCGGTTGGCTGTTGGCTTAAGAGAATGAAGTGACTAACCTACACCTTTATTTCTGACTTATAATGCCTCCAACCACTATTTCATCTATGCATGCCCCTGTCCAGCTGGATCTTACCTGGGCCAACCAGGCTGGAGTCCATAACCCATACCCACATTCCCTCCCTCCTCCCATCCCTCAGCCATTTGCCTACAATCTACATATATACATATACACAAGTCCTCGGGCCCCCGCACGGCTGATGTGGGCAGGATGGAAGGCAGGCGTCGCATGGGGGGATACCCATGTCGCTCATAAACAGGACACATACACCTTCAACACAGTAAATCAAACACAGCATGCACGCACACAAGGCCAACTCTCACTTGCAGCAGCAGCACCAACACCACCATGACACTTGAGAACAGCTCCACCCAGTTCCAATAAGCGTTGAAGCCTGCAGACAGATCGAAATACACGAGGTTCAGGGAGAGAACACCAATTCAGACCTGGTCTACCTGTTGATACTGGAGGTGATGGCGGACCATACACTATGACGACGGGTGATCGCGTTAAGTCCGCGTTAGCTCGCGTTAGTTCGCGTAGCGGTGCGAATCTTAGCGTTAGGTGCGAATGAGCATGCTTTTGTAACGCAAAGAGCTAACGCACAACGGCTATGGAAAAGCGGAAATCGGCCCTTCTGGCCAAGTTTTTTAAAAATTTATAATTTTCAGATTGTAAAGGTTTATTTGGAAATAAGCTTGCGTCGTTTTGGTCGACTTGGACAATTCATCCGTGCGTATGTTGAAACGCGAAGCATACGCGCATGTGTAGCAAGGCGATACGCATGCGATTCCATAATGCGATTCGTGCGTGTGGGGAGACAATGCGTAAAGCAATTCGCGTCCACTCGCACATCAAACGCACACAGTCCGCAAGGCTATTTGCATGCGAATGCATGTTGCGTATCATGCGTATGAAGGCTGATTGCGTAAAGCTTAACGCGGCCTAACACTCACCTTACGCACACATTTCGCAACGCATTTCGCATGCTAATACATGCTGCGTTTCATGCGTATAAAGGCTCATTGCGTAAAGCTTAACGCGGCCTAACACTCGCCAAACGCACACATGTCGCCAGGCATTTCGCATGCTAATACATGCTGCGTTTCATGCGTATAAAGGCTCACTGCGTAAAGCTTAACGCAGCCTAACACTTACCAAACGCACACATATCGCAACGCAATTCGCATGCAAACAAATGTTGCGTTTCAAGCGTATGAAGGCTCGTTGCGTCAAGCTTAATGCGGCCTAAGCTAACACACAACATGCACACACGATTTACCTTTGATGAATCGCATGACATAACAATTCACGTGCGATGTTTAATGTGTTGGTCGCATACTCAGTTCGTAAACCTTCACGCAGTCTCATGAGAGAATAACATGCTTCGCAGCACTCAGGGGGGGCTTCCGCAAACGAAATCGCATCAGGCGCAGCCCTACATCGCACAACGATTCATCATACCATCAACTAGATGCCAGAAAGGTGGCGGGACATGCCGCATGCGAACGCGCACGCAATTAGACCCCCGCCGTGAGATGCGTCGGTGGCTGTGAGGCAGGTGGGACATGCCTGGGAGGCTGAAAGGGCTTCCGGACGCATAAATCGCACCAGGCGCCGTCGTACGCCGGACCAACGATGCATCATAACATTAACTAGTTGCTAGAAAGGCGGCAAGAAAAGGAGCATCCATACGCGCACGCAATTAGACCCCCGCCGTGAGATGCGTCGGTGGCTGTGAGGCAGGTGGGACTTGCCTGGGAGGCTGAAAGGGCTTCCGGACGCATAAATCGCACCAGGCGCCGTCGTACGCCGGACCAACGATGCATCATAACATTAACTACTTGCTAGAAAGGCGGCGGGGAAAGGAGCATCCATACGCGCACGCAATTAGACCCCCGCCGTGAGATGCGTCAGTGGCTGTGAGGCAGGTGGGGACATGCCTTGGAGGCTGAAAGGGCTTCCGGACGCATAAATCGCACCAGGCGCCGTCGTACGCCGGACCAACGATGCATCATAACATTAACTAGTTGCTAGAAAGGCGGCAGGAATAGGAGCATCCATACGCGCACGCAATTAGACCCCCGCCGTGAGATGCGTCGGTGGCTGTGAGGCAGGTGGGGACATGCCTGGGAGGTTGAGAGGGCATAGATCGCATCAGGAGCCGTCGTACGCCGGACCAAGGATGCATCATTACACCAACTAGTTGCCAGAAAAGCGGCGGGGAACGCGTCTTCATCAGTCACGCTCGCTAGCCAACCATCATGGGGAAGGGATGTAAGACCGTCATCCTCTGGGATGGGTCGAACTACTCCCACTGGCTCGGCGAGTTAGGCGATTTCCTCGCAACGTCCAAGTTGAAGAGCTACATCAACAACCCGTCGCCTCCGAGCCGCAACTCCCAAGACGCCCTGGAGGAGGACGCACAGGCGCTCAGCTACCTGCGTCTGTCCTGTGAACTGCCCATCAAGCAGTTGCTCATGAATTGCCCAACCGGTCTCGCCGCCATGCAGCTCTTACAGCAACAGTTCCGTTCTGCATCCCAGGCCCGGCTGAGCCTGGTTGAGCCGCAGATGCAGCTGAACATGCGCGATGGGGAGACAACCGCTGACTTCATTTAGCGGGCAGAGCAGCTCCGTAGCGATATAATTGTGGCCGGCGGCCAGTGGGACGAGAGCACGGTGTGCCACGCCATTCTGCATGGCCTGCCTCCGCAGTACGCCATCACCATCGAGTTCACGATGTATCAGCCCAACTTAACGACCCCACAGATCGTGCTCATGCTGCGGGAGAAGGACAACAACCTCAAGACCCAAGCAAGCAAGACCAGCCTGGTGGGAGCTGTCGGCCCTGGCCATGCCACCAGTGGAGTCGGCAGCACCGCCAGTGCTGCAGGCGCCGTGGGGGCCGGCGGCACCTGCCGCTACTGCGGACAGCCTGGTTACTACATCTGCGAGTGCCCCTTAAGCAGGCGGACGAGTCCGTCGGCCTTCACCACAGCAACGCATTCGAGCAGCTGCACGCCGCCGGCAACATCAGTTGAGGCAGCCGCAACCGCCACTGTGACGGCGGCGGCAGGGACACTGGCAGCGGCAATGGCGGTAACAGCGGGGCCGACGGAACACGTGAACGCGGCCGTGCTTGATGCGGCAACAGCCACCGCAACGGCGGCGACACTGCAGGCGGCAGCAGTGGCAGCGGCTCGGGCAGCAGTGGAAGCAGCTCACGCCAGAGCCGTGCCACAGTGCTGGTCATCGATGGCAGTGGCAGCAGCTCACGAGTCATCCTCGACTCAGGCTCACCATACCACCTCACGGGTGACCACTCCCTGCTGCACAACCACGTCCCCGCCGGCGCGCCACGGCTGATCGAGTGGGGCAACAACCAGCTGGCCGATGTCATGGGAACAGCGCAGCTGCACCTGCGTACACGTGATGGACACAATGTCCGGCTGCACAACATGCTGCACGTCCCCAGCTCGGGCCTCATCCTAACATCTGTCAATCTTCTCGTGACACGCAGCTGCTCAGTCACATTCAGCACGACAAGACGGGCTGCTGGTTCTCATGCATCGGCCTCCCTCGCAACAGCCCGTCTATCACCGCATGGAATGAGCGTGGGCACTACGCATGGACGTGGACCTGCGGGCGCCGACCGACGTCACCGT